AGTCTTTCCGCGGAAGAAATATCATCGTGAAAGGTGTACTTGAAAACACGGACCCTGGTCAAACAAACTCTGACATTCGGGAATGGAAATTCCTCACGCCGTCCTTGAAGCTTGAAAACATACTGATTTAACATGTGACGAGACTAGCTAAGCGAAGATTCTAGACTCCGGCTAATGAAGATAACTTTCCCATCCTCCCATATGGCGGCTGCAACTCTGGAAGCATTTTGTGTCAACAGATGTCGGTTTCAAAATGGAATCCATATTAATCCGGTTAGGCCACATGACACCAGGATCAAGCACAAAGGCAGGTTGCAGTTGACAATTCCACTTGTGGACTGTCTTGATCATAAAAAACGTGTAAAGAACAGAACTACCAACTCGAAAAACCTTGTATAAGTAGGCTACCTGTCCATTCACGTAAGGCTCATACAGACAAACAGGCATAAGCTCACGCGTTTCAAACTGAAAGCATAAACTGCTTATACATGGAAGCCGCGAGTTTATCAAATAAAATTGATGAGCTGCGGGAACTTAACAGTGCTAATAATGCTCATTTGATAGGAATATCTGAACTTTGGATATCTTCTCAGTTTACGGCACAGGAATTAACAATACCTGGGATATCTTTGTTTCGCAACGACAGAAAAACTTGAATTGGGGATGGCGTAGCCTTATACACACGATCATGCCTGAAGGTACACCATGTTCAGAACCAAGAGTTTCTCAATGTTGACGAATCAGTATGGTGCTCACTATGATTGTCTACCACTTCGAGGTGTCTAGTTGGAGTCATCTACACGAAGCCCACGGCCAAGTTGATGTACGACAATCGTATGCTGGAAGGATTAACACGCTCTACGTGTCTCGGATTCGTTCATATCCTGGTTCTAGGAGACTTCAATCTTCCTAAAGTCGATTTCGCTGAACATTGGAGGTGAAAACTCTACTGAAGCTCGGTTCTTTAACCTCATTGAGGATCTTGGATTATTCGAAAATTTCAAGTTGGCAACTCGTTGGAGAAACAGTCAGACACCGTCGCGCTTAGACCGGGTATTTCCAAATGAAGAAGTAGTCGACAACCTCTCAATTCTGACTCCCCTGGGATACAGCGATCACGCCATTATATCATTCAGTTTTGTCAGCAAAACTGAGCTAAGATATCCCACTAGCAACAGATACTGGAATTTCAAACGACTGAACGTGCCAGTTTTACAGGACTATGTACAACAGGCAGATTGGGATTTTCACCCTCAGCTTGAAGTGGATTTTCATTGGGATATCTCACTGCATACGCTCTTACGTGCTACTAAGCATTCGGTTCTTCGAACGGTCCACAAAAGCTGCAAGCAACGTACAATTATCAAGAACCACACTCTCTGTTTGCTAAACCACAAACGGCGCTGTTGGACAGAATGCAAATGAACTGATAGCAATGGCGCGAACAGGCACTACAAACATATAAGGAACATATGCACAAAGACAGTAAGAGAAGACAGGCTTCAGTAGCAGATCAAGCTTATCGATAAATTTGTCTCCAATCCGAAAAGCTTATTTCGTTATTCAGCTTCTCTTCAACAAGCCAAAACTGAAGTTTCCCAACTGCTAGGTCCCAATGGTCCGATCTATAACGACGGTAATGCCACTAATCTTTTGGCTGAACAATACTCTCGAGATTTTCAACTGGCCCACATCAACTACGCTGATGTAAGCTTCGTCTGCAGCTGTACAGAAATTTTTAAAGTGAAACTGAGATCTGGCTTGGTGTTCAGTAAACTGCAGCACCTAAAATTGGACACTTCTGAACCGGATATACTGAGGGAAGCAGCTTCAATCCGGGCAGCGCCGCCTAGCGTGATGTTTTCACAATCAATAAGTCAAGGCAAATTTGGAAGCTGGCTCACATCACATCATTTTTCAAAGTAGGTCGACTCAGCGAACCTTTTGGCCACCGACCGGTGGCCATTCTCTCTATATATTCTAAAATTATAGAGTCCCTGATATGCGATGGTATACACGACTGTTTATTATTCTTAAACTTCTCACCCCAACAACATGGTTTCAGGAAGGGTCACTCTTCTATAACAAACTTGCCTATTGAGGTGGACAGATGGACAAGCATCCTTGATCGCAAGGAGAAGGTTGACATCATTTACGTTGATTTCTCAAAGGCTTTTGTCAGGGTCAACCATGTATAACTTATCAATAAGCTCGAACGATTGAGTGTCAAACCGCGTCAAATTGACTGTTTGACTACATATTAAAAAATCGACACTTTAAGGTCATGATTATCTTCAATTTCTCTCGGGCTATGGGATGTCTAGTGGGGTCCCCCAGGGCTCAATACTAGAACCTCTTCTCTTCTTCATTTATATAAACGATCTACCGCAACAAGTACCCTCTGACTTGTTGCTTTTTGCTGATTATGAAAAACTTTTGGGAGAGATACGCAACCAAGAGGATATACCAGCACTTCAGGAGGACCTGAATGGACTTCAAAGTTGGGCAGACGACAAGGACTTACCTTCAACACTTCAAAGTGTTCCATTTGCGACATGTTGCAGTTAAAACTTAGGAAACTCCTCTCTAGAAGTATTTCAAAACGAAAAAGATTTAGGAGTGTTGGTACCCTACGACTTGAAGTCGTACTCTAACTGTGACAGAAACCGATTTCCAGCAAACCTTGCACTGGTAATATTGAAGCACATTTTTGACCAGTTTGACGGAAGAACTTTCCACATAATCTTCAACAGTTTTATTCGTTCCCATGTACAGTATGGAGACATAGTATTTCCTCCCTCCAAAACGATCAGGACACTCTGGAGCGTATCCGACGGCGAGCCACGAAATCTAATCGGGGACTCAAATTCAAACCTTATGAAAAGCGCCTCCAACCACTTAAACTTTACCCGTTAAAGTATAGGCGTCTTAAAGATGACCTTCTTATGACTTGCAGTATTCTCAACACTTATGGTCATCCTCTTAAACATCTACTTAAGCTTAATCACAATACTAACCCAAGGGGTAACACCCATAAACCGGAGACCCAACGTAGCAGAACGGACTGTAGACACAACTTCTACTCCGTAAGAGTTATCAAATGCTGGAATTCACTGTCGAATGAGCTAGTCGAAGAGACTTCTCAGTGGTCTTTTAAGAGGAAACTTGACCTATTCTTAAGGACTAAGGATAACATGTTATTATGATTTACCAATTTCTTTTTTTCCTCTGTTGTCGTTAGTATACCTGATTTTCTGCCTGGAGGTATTGATGATCCACTGCTACTAGACACGGAATCCCGTTAAGAGGAAGCTTCTTCTATTCCGTCCACAACCATTTGGCCCATTTGACCCTGGTAATTTGATGAGTTGTTCCAAGGTCATTTCAGCGCCGCCCAAAGGTCATCTACAAATTATGATCTGACCGTAATTTTAGACGATTTTTCGTTCATGTACAATTTCTAAAAATTAACCTCACTCGACCAGATGTGTTAAGTTAAATATTTCACTTCTGAATCATTTTTTAGCTCGCTGTTCATAGTCTCTGTAGTCATACATATGGATTCAGCAGTATCGCGTAATCTTGTTTAAAATCTCTGAAAGTCTGAACGACATTATTGTTAGTGAAGTGACTCTGAAGTAAACACACGCAACTAGCATGAAATATGGTATGTGGTAATAAATGCCATAAAAAATTATTTGACCTTATTAATATGATATAACCGGTAGTAATTAAACCACCACCGACTGCTCCGACGTACGATGTTTCATGGTGTAGGAGTAAGTTGGGAGAAATCTAGGGTCGGCCAGACCAAAACGTGACAAAATCCATAAAGTCACTGACAAGTGGGATGAGCCATGTTGGTAGGTGTAGACTACCTGGTTGGGATCAGCGAGAGGATAACAACCGATAGTTAGAAACCTTGGATGACATAGCTCAAAATCGTTTGCAATGGTGCATGTGCATCCACTCTTTGTGTTCTCCCAAATTCTAATTTTCTGAATTCTTCATGTCTTTTTTTTCTCTTTCCAGGTTTATTTCACTGAATCATACTTATTAAATAACATCTTCTAACCCTAATCTTTCCTATTACTGAATCGGCAATTGTATCTCTTTGCTAATATAGTATGACAACTCGAACTTGTGTACATGTACGTACGAAGTTCTACGTTGTGACGGACTAATAGTAATTAAACTGAACAGTCCATTTCTATTTCATTGGAAGTCGAATGACTTAAAAACCCTGTCTTACAATTGCTTGCATTTTAAACAACTATTCTTATTTATTAGTGCTTGTTGTTTGCACATGAGTTTATCATTTCTTCGTGATAATTTGTTTCTTTTCGAAATCTGTTCATCAGGTTCTTATCAGTAGTTCGTTTACGTAAACAGCATTTAGTCGAACCCACTATCTATCAGTAGTATATTCAATTTAGCAACCAAAACGTGTCAATCACAGAACCTAAAATGCTTTATTCTAACAGACTCTACAAGTGTCATTTATTTATTTATTTAAACACAAATATTGGTACAAGAAAGCACCAGATAAATATGCGCCTCACAAATCTCATTTGATTTGTGTGAGGGCTGAGATACTGCCCAGGTGCCCAAACTGAAGCAGGTGGTTTTCTTAGGGGGCCACACCCGGAGCCTTTGGCCTAAAGGTTTAGTCCACAAGGCAGTGGAGCATCGTAAGGAGATGCAGTCCCATGATAGCCGGTGGCCAACGAGTGGTTCATCTGCCATTTGTTCCTTCAGGATACTGGAGCCCATGTGCACCATTGGTTTGGAATCAGGGTTTTCCAAGTCCCCTAGGTGAACTTTCCGTGTCCACCAACCCGGTTAAAGCGCCGAACATTTGCTTTTCGTCCTCTCACTTTTGTGAACAACACCCTCGCCACGAGAAGGCAGTGAGTAGTGCTTACCTGGTAGAGGCTATATATTCGCGTGGCCATGTGAGAGCATTTGGAGAGGGAGAGCGGACTCTCCCCACTCTCAGCCGTACCAGGGCATTTGGGGGCCTACAAGTGTCATATTCTAACCCAACTGGAAAACTCTAGTGTATAGTATCTAGATAGGGTCTTAGTTTTATTTACATTTATCGCTCATTCACCCCTATTTCAGGTCAACTGACAGGCGACTTACTGGACTAAATTAAGGAGCATTTGCCGATCCATAAAAATACTCACATTTACAGATGCTAAATAATGCGTGAAGAATTATCTCAGGTACCTTTCGTTAAAAGTAAATCAAACTTTCGTGTAGAAATTACATTCTCTTCAGGAACGCAAACGTCTTATGTGTTCTCGTTCGACGAAGATCCGAGAAGTTGAATTAAAAAGGAAAATAATTAACGATGGTTAGTAATTTCTCAGTATAATGACTAGAGCTGTTCACATATAGTTCTAGAAATTGTGCCAAAATCATCATCGACTGCTGCATGCCTCCGTGAAATTGAATTCGAGATAAATAAACAAGATATAACTGTACGACCTTGGAAAAAAAGAAAACTGATGAAGTCAATGGATTCTACAAATAAAACGGTATAATAATTTTTCTTCCACTAACGATAACACGATAGTAAAATTGATTCATCCTTTTCACCAATAGACTTGCTTTTTTCCGTCAGCAGTTATTTTTATCAACACTGCTTTTACTTTTAGTGAAGTTCATGTCATACTATCATGCTTATATATATAATTTTATTTAAACACATAAATATTGGTACAAACGGCACCAGACATATGCGCCACACAATTCTCATTTGATTTATGTGAGGGCTGTGATACCGCCCAGGTGCCCAAACTGAAGCAGGTTGTTTTCTTAGAGGCCCACACTCGCAGCCTTTGACCTAAAGGTCTGATCCACAAGGCAGTGAAGCATCGTGAGGAGATGCAGTCCCATGGTAGTATAGCAAGCCCATTCAACTATTGTATTATTTGTGTGCTCTCTGTAATCTTAACATTTAATCCACTGTAAATTTTATTTGTGAGTCTGATTGAGCGCATGTGTCTACACATCAATCTTTAATCTATTCTCTCACTGGTTGTAAACAAAGATAATCAATAAGTTATCCACAACTCATTGACACTCATAAATATATATGGATTTTTTAACACCTTCGGACACACATACACACTTGTTTTCCCGGTGTGCTTGCCTTCTGTACGCTTGCGGATTTTTACCGAGCTTCAACAATAAACTATCTCTATAACTGGTGTTCAGGCTTTCGAATAATCTCGAGTAAACCCATAATTCTACTACAAGATTCAGCCTGCATTAAATATTCAGTTAACGGGGTATTATTTATTTATTGGAATCAGATATAGAGGAATTAATCCTCTACAGTAGCCTGTGACCAACGATTGATTCATACACCATCTGCTTTTTTAGGATACTGGAGCTCACGTGGACCATTGGTTTGGAATCAGGGTTTTCCAACTCCCCTAGGTGAACTTTCCGTGTCCACCAACCCGGTTAAAGCGCCGAACATTCGCTTTTCGTCCTCTCAATTTCGTAAACAACGGTGATGCCACGAGAAGACGGTGAGCAAGACTTCCCTGGCAGAGGCTATATATTCGCGTGAGAGCATTTCGACAGGGAGAGCGGACTCTTCCTACCCTCGGCCGTACCAGGGCATTTGGGGGCCTATATATATATATCAATACAAAGCATTTTAAAGAAATATAACCATCAGTGCCTATGTTTGTCTTTTATTAACAGTCAAAGCTATTCGATTGTTTGTGATCTAAATATTCAGTCAGTAAATAGTCATGCATGAATTCCTGTTCATTCTAACTCAGATTATCATCAAGGTAGCATTTTCACACCTTGTATGTCACATTTCTTCAGTATTTCGATACATGACTCCACACATATCAAGCTTTAAAGTAATATAGTATTTTATTAATACAAATTTCACATGATCGTTATTGATTTTCATACTGTTAGGTAATAGTTTCAGTACTTTGGTGTTCACTCGGTCCGATAGTTTAATTTTTTTCTTACAGCTTCGTGTATGTAGTATTTTGGTTTTCAACTTAGTGTCTTCAGTCAGATTTACCGTTTCTAAAACTTTTTAAGCTTTCCTGTTTATTTTAGTCACACCTTATATTGAGTATCTGACCTTCGCAACATGGGATTTTGTAGGGGCAATACTTTTTAAAAAATGTCGGTGAGATTCGATAGGTATGAAACCCAGTTTCATCTATTATGGTTTTCCTTTTAGGTAAATCAGATACTCCATCCATTGTTAGTGCCTGTTTACTAAATTAACTGTATGACTTTTCTTATCCAGACTCCCCTCTCTTCAGTTGTTTTGAACCCATCTACTTCTAAAGATCTAAGTCGTATTCATGCCGAAAGTTTACATAAAGGCACTTTAGAATGGCGTTTGAACCAAGCAATCGACAATGGACAGATTGACCTAGCAGAAAAGATAAGTGACTCTATTGGAAATCGTGTAAGTTATATCATGTGGTTTTCCTGTTACTTCTGTACTCTGAATCTCATTTTATGCAAATACCCTCAAAATGTAGGTTTTTAAGTGCGAGTTCGGACCATGAATTTATTCATTTTCTCCAGTTTTAATTAATAACTATTAGGGAACTCCTTACTCTAGTACTTCACTGTCTTGTTTTAAAATTATTAATATATAGATGCATATATGTGTATATATACTCATGCCCAATTAATCCAACTAGGTACATCGCGTAAATTCATACGACTAGTTTCTCGATAAATATGTGAATTCTTGGTGTAATAATGATATTCAGCGTTTATTTGTCTTATATTTATTCTAAAGCATCTTCAAAAAAGCGCGTGAAGTGGTTGATGCACTTAACTATTTCACTTCCTATCATTTGTTTATGCGTTGAGACGGACCAGTTTTAAAGCAAAATTTTACATTTAGGGGTAAAGAATCTCAACCCAAATAACTGCGGTCGCAATCGATTAAGATAGTTCTTATGGGTGTTTGTGGTATCGTATCCCTTTCATTTATAAGCAATATATTTTAGTGTGTCTAGTTACCAGGCTTTTTTATATTTATCACCAAAGTGTGCGCATATCCGTAAAGTTTTGTTGATATGTCTGTTGTTGCGAAACACGATCATCTTACAACTTAAAAACTTTCGATTGAATACTCAAAGACATTTAGTAAAAATCAGTCAAAAATCTGTGTCGGTATGTATTGACTTGAAAGTTGTTTGAATAACTCAGTGCTCATCAGTAGTGCTAGGATCTTTGAAATCCACCCTCACAAATTCTTGAGTGTTTGGCAACAAAAGTATTTTTATCCAACAAAGTCATAAAACTCAATTGAAACCAACATGTAGAATAGTTCTAAAATATTCGGTGGACTATTATGTCTTATGACCCGTTAAGTATCACGTGATAAGGTCACTGATCACAATACCGACTTCAATTACTTTTACCCCTGTGCTAAACCAATGATATGTCAAACCGCACTAGCAGCCTTGAGTCAACTGTGAATACTTATTGATCCTCTATATAGTAGCTTCTCGCCCGTTCTGTCCAAAACACAAATATCAGCCTCCACTATATGTATCGTATATATCAGTTATAAGTAGACCAGGTGACATCATACTGTAAAATGAAAAATAATTATACATGGTTGACTATAAACATAACTGTATCATAACCCAATCATAGTTGCTACATTGATGTGGTAGTTGAGCTTGCCTGTCGTAATGGCCCTATCTAGCTATACTGGCTGAAAAAATTCCTTTAGATCCTATCATGCCTGGAAGGTCGGGTGGGGGAACAATAAGAATAAAGGCAGCAACTGAAGGTCCGAGGTCAAGGTGTACTGTTGATCATGATATAACGGATGGTTTACTATATTTTCCTCTCTACACGTTAAGATAATACATTAATGAGACTAATCACGTTATATCAGAACCAGGAACAACAATTAGATGGTATTATTTATTCAATTATATAAAATCTGTATCTAATTAATTTTATTCGAACAATTTGACCAATCAGTTCAGTAGTGATGTATTTATGTTTATTAGAAATGTGTAACTCATTTACCATTTGTAGGCTTATGTATTAGATTTTCAACCATACTGCTATTACTATTCGGTCGCTCAAATCAATCTGCGTTAGTTTTGAATCTTTTTAGAATGCTTGTTGAAAGTCAAGCATTTTTAAACACTAAAATACCTCTGGAACCTGCTGCCGTCCAAGGGTAATATGGAGTTTACTTACTTCATTCACTAAAATCAACATTGTGCATTAATTCATCACCTTGTAGTAACCATAAATATATGTCCCTCAGAAAATGAATCCACATTTCCTATCTGTAGAGTATGTTTATTTCCTTGAAAAGTTAGGCCGAATCTTGATCAATAGTGTGCGCCCGTCAGCATTTATCACTTGTCATTTGGCCTATGTCTGATTGACCCAGCGTATCCACTGTCTGTAGTACTGATCCTCAGTTGCTAAGTTCTAGAAGATTATTCTATGCTTATCAAATACTTTATTCAGAATGTATAGCTGGTTCAACAACCGCAATGCATTCATAATATAATCTATTTAAGTATAAAAATAATTCACTTATTTTCATCCACCTGGATTTTTCCTCAAACCTATAGTTGTTTTCTACAACTTCCGACAAAAATATTCATTTGACTTTGGGCAAGCAAGGTGAATACAAAGAGGAATTAAAAAATCGGCGACCTGTTTGGCTGTAAGTTTATGTTTTATGATTTTAAAACGGAACACCACATCTGTAACTGTTTATCTGTATATTTTTGTTAACTAAGAAAGTTTGAGGTTGATTTTTTACGGGATAAAGGCTTTTATTACAGCATCAATAAATGTAAAATCGAAAATGGATACTCACTAGTAGTATTGTATAGTAACAGTGACCCCATATTATGAATTTACTAATGTTTAGAACCTCTGCCTAGTACATCTTGACGGTTTGATTACTAAAGTCAACCGATTGGATACACTGAACTCCTCATTCACATGATAGATGGATGGCTCATTTCCTCAGTAATACAAATCGTCTCGTCAACACACACCAACTCACATCACTTGTTGCACTCAACTGATTGTTCTATCTGGAAGCTTACTTTTGAAAAGCTAAAGGGAAACATATACCACACAAATAAACCACATACACGTAGTCATCACTTTCTTAGAAGCAACAATCGTGTGTACGCGTTAAGTCCTTATAGACGACTAACCCGAATTCTTTTGATGAGATTTATTGCACAGGAAGTAAAGTTGTCCATATCCATTTGATGAAAAAATCAGAATAAACTCTACTCGTGATTAGTCAATACCTATTCCGATCTTCATTATCGTTAAGTTAGACACGAGAAATCTTCAAGATGGCCAAACCAAGTCTTTTTGCCAGCTGATCACCAATTATCATCTTTTGGTTTAAGTTGTTTGCACGAGTTCTCAACATGATAATGATATTTAAAATATAAGGGATCATTTGTCGATAATTTAAACGTCATAGTTCAGCAAGATGGATGCTGAAATTTTCACATCTTTTTATACTCAAGTACATACATTTCATATAAAAGATGTATTGCGGCTAGCAGCGAAATACAAGACACATTTTGTCTTGTTTGAGACTCGTCTTCTGAATGTACGTAAATCGCATGCATCCGGCTGACGTTCCCCAAGCGAGACGAAACGATCGTTCTGGATTCTAGTTCTAGCCACAACCCATGTATTCAGTAAAAGGTTGTGAAAGACGCCTTTATCGAGGCTGTCCGCTCAGGGTGTGTATGTGCCAACTAAGACTAATAAAAAATTACAGTCAAGATTTATCAAAAACGAAATAATTCAAGTTTTCTTTAATTCTGTATAAAACATTTGTTTATTCAGTCCTTGGCTTACCCTTCTTTCTAGTTCGTGCCTATGTTACTTATTTACCAAGTACAGATTTATATACGAACGTGGGAACTACACTTTCTGTAAAGCTAGTGATGCTATCGGGTTGTTTGTACTCGAAGAATCGAACTTCAGTCTCCTGGTTGACAGCTAGATGCTTCAATCACTTAAGCTGACGCTCCACTTTTATTATTTTATTTTATTTAAACACATAAATACTGGTACAAGGAAGCACCAGATAAATATGCGCCTCACAAATCTCATTTGATTTGTGTGAGGGCTGAGATACTGCCCAGGTGCCCAAACTGAAGCAGGTGGTTTTCTTAGGGGGCCACACCTGGAGCCTTTGACCTAAAGGTTTAGTCCACAAGTCAGTGGAGCATCGTAAGGAGATGCAGTCCCATGATAGCCGGTGGCCAACGAGTGGTTCATCTGCCATTTGTTCCTTCAGGATACTGGAGCCCATGTGCACCATTGGTTTGGAATCAGGGTTTTCCAAGTCCCCTAGGTGAACTTTCCGTGTCCACCAACCCGGTTAAAGCGCCGAACATTTGCTTTTCGTCCTCTCACTTTTGTGAACAACACCCTCGCCACGAGAAGGCAGTGAGTAGTGCTTACCTGGTAGAGGCTATATATTCGCGTGGCCATGTGAGAGCATTTCGAGAGACGTTCCACTTTAGTTTTAGTGAGTTGTTTTCGTCTCTTTTCCGTGTGTTTCGAATCGAACTGTGAAAACTTGACCCAGTTTGATAGTATCTATAACTTATATTTATAGCTTATCATGAAAATACGGTTCACTATTATAAACAATTATATGGAATCAATATTCCACATTAAAATGTGACATATTTTTCTCCATTAAATTTATCTCTTTCTCATATTATTTCACTTTTTTGTGTGACCTTTACCTAACAAAAAGTCCATGTATAGAGTTTTATTTGATTTAAAGTTTTAGCATTTCAATTTCCTTAACAAATAATTATTGATGCAAATTTTAAACAGATATTTGAGGCTAGCTCTGTACAAAAGAGCAGTTTGAAAGATATGCATGACAAACAAATAAATACTAGATTCACAGTTAATTACTGTGTTCATAGATATAATCTAAAAAATGAGCTAAGTAGTATGTTTTATGAAGTTCGTAAATAAGAAAGCTGTAAAACCAAGGATTATGCTTTCCAGCTGCATTTTGCGGCATATCTCGCATTAATTTGTCACTTTTTGTATTGCCTAATATTGAAGAACAGTGGACGGTTAGCTTAGTGTGTCAGGCTACTCACGCTAACCAGAAGAATTCGATCAAATCTGATTGGCGCATGGTGCTGTATGATTCTCAATCCGTTTATGTGATGAATATAGCGTTTTTCAGATCAAGAAGTGCTTAGTTCATCCATTTTATGTCCTTATAGGAATAATTCATAAACATTGTCTTCATAATTAGTGTACCTGACGTTAAATAAGAACAAAAGTCTTTATAATGTGTTGTTTTAAGCAGTCTGCTGTACATATGTAAGGATCCAGTGCACACTTTGTAATTGAGCATCAGAATCAAAGAATATATACTTTTATTAGTGCTATTCTTCCTCTGGACTGCTTCTTTGTTTGTTAACTTATATTTCGGCACCGTTTCAGTCATTCTGTAGGGTACTCTGTTATATCCGCGATGTTATTGCTGATACTTGAAAATCGGGAACCAGTACAATTTACATACCCCCAAATGCCCTGGTACGATCGAGGGTGGGGAGAGTCAACTCTCTCTCGAAATGCTCTCACATGACACGTGCATACAACTGTTATGACTTGACCTAGCCGTCGCCAATTTGTTATGTTTTTGACCTAGGCGGTAGCCAATTGTTATGACTTGATCAAGGTCGTCGCTGATTCGTTATGACCTTACGAATTTAACAAGGACGTAATTCGCGTAAATTATCCACCAATAGAATACGACTTCTACGACCTTCACACTGTGACAATGACGTTCGATTAATATGAGTAATCTAGCGTCCTTATTGGTCCTTATCCGCCTAACCCGTCCACTTGAGTCCAGAACACCAATAGCAGCTGCTGTAATGCGAATCGTTTATTCCAAACATACTTTATCTATATACCAGACAGGCAGACCACACCATAAAATAGAAAATAATATTTGTACAAAACCAAGCCAAATGAGGCTGTAAGCGTGGGAGACAATAATCAATAAAACTGAGCATAACATAGGGACAGTAAATCATATATTAATAATCAATAGGTCAAAATGAAGCTTAGATAATCTAGTTACCGAATAGTTATACAATAAGAATGATAGTCCAATAGTAGGTCCTGCAAGTTACCCGTACTTATGTCTTCGCTACTACATAACAACAACCACTGTCAGGGAAGTCCTACTCACTGTCTTCTCGAGGCAGCGTGTTGTTTACGAAATTGAGAGGATAAAATTCCTATATTTAACGTATTCACAGCTTCCTGAGGAAAGCAAAATCTTTTGTGTTATTTTCCAGACCACCCAATTAAATTTTAAACATATCTTCATGTCTTTTATACCAGACTTCGAATGTAATATCATTTTCGGGATCAGAAATACAATTAGTGATTTGAAGTACCAACCTTCCTTAAAGTGTCTTACTTCTAAACATAGACTATCATAAGTGAATTAAGTATCGCTACCAAGGTGTGACTAGATAGTTTTAAATGAATTAAGCACTAGGCAAATGGTTTATAATAAAAAGAATAAAAATATGTTATTAATATCTATCAATGAGTAAAATATAAAATTTCTGATATTTTGCGACCTAACATTAGTCGCTTATTCAGTTTACTATTCATTAGGATTTTACAAATATATTATTATCTTATTATTATACGTCAATTAGGATGAAAAAAACCCATTGAAGGGTAAAGCCAATTAAAAGCACAGAAATACTGATAGCAGATAAACTAGAAATACTCTACCAAGTTTTTACTGATTTATCACAGGTACATCCTCTGAAGTCAGTAAAAAGGGACTTATTAAAGAGAACTTCGCTATTACAAATCATTAAAGTTTCATTGTCATTTTGGAAACTGGTAATTAAAGTAACGCCTCATTCATGATGCTTTCAATCGAAGTTACACGCTAATGTAATATGATATAGTTAATGACATCTGGAAATAAATTTTAATTAAGCATTATTTCACTTTTGTTTATACTTATTTCATGAAAAGTTGGGATGAATAGACAGGTTGTTGGATATTAAATTTTTACTAACTAAGATGGATGATTTCGTTTACCATATTAAGACTATTTTGCTCAGACAGAATAGAAAGTCAAGACAAGATTTTTCCTTAATTCAATGTGAAAACTGTTCAGAATAATATTCGTTTTATTTTCAGTGTAACAACTCTCCCAGCATGAGTGGTTTTATTTTCAGTGTGGTTTTTATTCAAGATATAATATTCTTTGTATCGACAGCATTCGATTTTGTCATGATTTCATATATGTAATTTGTGTAAAAAATTTAGTTAGTCAGGTGCACATATCGATATGTGAATAGATGTGTGCTTTCGTCTAGGATCGTTGTGTTTCACTTGTACCTGTCATTTGTGTTCTTTCTTCATGTCGTAGTAACCGTAATGGTATCTCATTTTCAAATGTAACTAATGAGCAACACGGATACTACAGAGCTTTTATCTTTAGTGTTTGTATGACCTGTTCCGATCTTAGGTAATTTACATTTAAATATATTAAAATAATTAAACAAAGTATATGTTTGGTAACATTCTCAATTTTTTAATGGGGTTCTATACGTTGATTTATCAAAACTATTTAGAGCACTTTTACAATATCGAATAGGATTATAAGACATTTATTTACAGTCATAAATGTTTTTTAAAGGTATGTAGCTATCATAGCTGAAAACATGAGTCAATTGAAGCTAAACCACCATGGAAAACCTGGAAGCACTGGACGGCCGTTTCGTCCTATTATGAGAATCCACAGCAGTGCGCATCCACGATCCCGCACGCGCGAGATTCGAACCCAGGACCTACCCACTAGAACTCCACGACATGTATCTTCAACTCAGTCATGATTTCAACTATGAAAATACTGAAGTCTCCACAAAACCCATTCTAATTATAATCATATACTCACTAGTGACTGACTTGAAGATACATGTCGTGGAGTTCTAGTGGGAAGCAGTGACCAGTGGAGTTCAACCACGTCTGTTGTGAGATAACAACTCACTGGAAACAATTGGTGAACGATTGCTCAAACTTCGTGGATTGGTTGAAGTTAGACATTGACACCATTGGATGCCGGCTCAGTGGTCTTGTAGTGCCGCGATTCGTTAATCGTTCGTTTCGATAACCGATATAATTCTAGTCTTAACGGCGCGTAAAATCAGAAAACAAAGGATAGCAGCAACTACAGTTTAGTGGAGATGGTTGGGAAGCCAACTCGAGAGTGAAGCAAAAATAATGCGTGTTGGAGATGGCTGGGAAGCCAACTTGATTTAAGCAAGCGTTAATCAACATTTATAGTCGGACAAAAATGAGTGACAGACATATGATGAATAAGATGCGAAGTGTACACATATATGCTCATGTAAAAGTATAGCCAAGGTTAATAAGCGAATAATGAACAAGATCAAAATATGACTCATGACAGGCGAATTGGCTTGGCCAGTAGCTAGGATAAAGTATATGGGCTTAACAAATAAACTGATACTACAGTCTAGAGGTTAAGTGCTCTGGCGCGGGACTGGTAGGTCCTGGGTTCGAATCTCGCGCGTGCGGGATCGTGGATGCGCACTGCTGTGGATTCTCATAATAGGACGAAACGGCCGTCCAGTGCTTCCAGGTTTTCCATGGTGGTTTAGCATCAATTGACTCGTGATCTCAACTATATAAAATCACCACAAAACCTTATTCTGGGTATGTAGCTTTATAGAGATCTTAAAAATCTATTGAATACTAATTGGCATAGAGACATTTCAAGCCTTGTTATGCTTCTACTTTACTTTATTGTAGTGTTCAAACCTGTGGACAACATCTTCACTTTTCTTAGATATTTGTCTGTGTGGTTACGTAATGCTAAGGCATAAAGTCACTCCTGTGCAATTTCCGTATTTTCTTTTTGTATGATTATATTATTTGGGCAACTAGAAATAAATCAATGTTATCATGCTTTCCTCGTAGCTAGAAAATGATCGTAAAGTGGATATTATATTATTTAAAACACTGTGCTCAATTCATTTTGAGGACTGTGTCATGCATATAAGTGGTAAAATGTCTAATTATTTTTAATGGATCATTTTTTAGTTATTGTTTGATGTAACGATGATTTGTCGCCGTACTGTAGGATTTTACTTGGAACTAACTATTGATCAATTACAAATGAATTCAAGTCGTGAACAAATATTGTTAGTTTCAGACTATATTAGCTTGTCGAGCACTATTTTAACAGAAACCGCCTGGTGAACATTATGTTTAAATGAAGGGATTTTAGGAATCGAAATTCCCTTATAAATCATAGTTTTATTTTCAGCTTTCAGGCTAAAGAACGGTGGGAAGCCAAGTCCAATATGTAGCGATGTAACTATCGCATCCAACGACATTGGAGATTATACGGGGATTTTTAAAAGCCAACTGTGCTCTTATACTTTGATAAATTTCTTCTAGGGAATAACTCACTATTTTACGCATATTTCATCATACTCTGTTTAATAACACATACATAATACCCAACATTAGATTCTTTTTACTTAAAACATCAGTTTTATGCTCCATGATTTCATCTGTCACTCTCTCGAAAACTGGACTGTAGATTTACGTAACTACTGAGTTATGTTGTTCATATCTACAAAGGTCAATGTATTACGTTCATGATAATCGTTCCCTCTAATACATAAAAATTCAGTAGCATGTGATCAGATATTGAAGTTAATTGAGTTATCTTGTTAGTAATGAGAATATTTCATGTTACTTTACTTGTGGTCATCAAATCGTACACTCTAAGTAGATATGATACCAGATAAATCATACTTTCGTTATTAGATAGGTAAACATTATACTGCTGTTTGTACAGACTTGCTCACAGTACGTAGCGAAGTGACTAGACAGATATATACTACATCTAAAAGAAAAAATACAGATGGTTTGACCCGACTCATTTATCCTGAGTAGGTTGTTTTTCATATTTTCAACTTCTAACAGACTGTTACTTAGCTATCAGTCGGAAGTGTTTCCGGATTCTACACTTTATCGACCGTCTCAACATAAAATCTAGACTATCTAAATGAGCTTGACAACCTCCTGAGATGTTTTCATGTGTGAACAGTCACGTGCGAATCCTGTTATACCAGTAGCCCCTAAATGCCCAGGTACGACTGAGGGTGAGGAAAGTCAGCTCTCACTCTCGAAATGCTTTCACATGACCCGTGCATGCAACCAGTGCCAGGGAGATTCTACTTACTATTTTCTCGAGGCGGTGTGTTGTTTATGAAATTGAGAGGACAAAAGGCGAATGTCCGGCGCTTTGACTAGGTTGGCGGACACGGAGTATTCACCTAGGGAATTTGGGAAACCCTGATTCCAAAGCAATGGTGTACATGGACTCTAGTATCCTGAGAAAACAAATGACGTATAAACCAATTGTTGGTCACCCACTACCATGGGATTGTATGTATTCGGTGCCCCTTAGTACCAATATTTATTTTTTCACATAAATAATTATACTAGTGGGATTCAGCCAGTATACCTCGATGTCTGTAGGTAGCCTAGAGTCTTTAATTTAAAATAAATATTTAGCCCCTCAACAGGTTCTTTCTTAATATTGTAGCCTATTTGCACTATGAAGGATAGCTATATATATGAATCAGTTTTACCTTGTTACGATACTCAAGATTAACAATTCCAGTTTGCGTTTCTTTCATGCATCAGCAAGATCTAGAATTTATAGTTAATTTCCAACGTGTCATCAAGATATCGACCAGATTTTAATTTATACACCACCATGGCGAACTTCTATCCGAAAGCTTGAAGTGTCTACTAATTTATTACGGGGACATGTGCACTGCTAGAATGTATTGTCACTATTTACCCTTGAACTACCTACTAATGTTTCCAACGAGTTAATGACATCCAATCCTGTCATTATCGCAATTTCAGCGGAAAAAATTAACCTTTTAGAAATAGCGCAACATCCGCCTTTTGAGATTTAAAACTAACATCTGGATCATTTCTGACATCATATAAAAATAGACCTTAACACCTCAGCTTCACATATCGATATCCCTATTGTTTGGTATCATTTACTATTTCTATAACGTCTGGATTCCTTGCTAAGTATAGAGAACATATCAGCTTATTGATCGAATTTTTAAGAGCATTTATTTTCAAAGTAATACATCAAATTAGTAAAGAGTAAGCTGACAAGAATACAATTCAGATTAAGAGGTAGCAAGATAAATGCTTCGAAATAAACACACAATATAATCAATTGGACAAGTTATAATAGGTAGACTAACAAATTTTCATAAACTAAACACATTTGTACACTAAGAAAGACAATATACACAGTACTGACATTAGAAAAGGTTACGATACGTCGTCACTTTTTTGATAACTGCCCGGATTCAATTAGGAAATCTTCAAAATCAGCTGCTTGTTCTCCATCTAGTTCTCCTAGCGATTCGTCAGAAAGATTGAGTTTGGAACCGATTTCTTCATATACTTGGTTTGATTCCGTCCAATTTTGACAAGTGGTGTTTTGAATAGCAGCCATTTCGGAAGCGTACATTAGCAGATCTAAAACGGTAGAACGGAGTATTCTTGTCGGTAACTGTTCTTCGATTAGTAATGTGCGCATCCCAGTTAGGCACCTATTTATTAACATGGAGAGATACGATGCAGATGTGCAGTCTGTAGACGGTTGACAAGAGTCATTCTCCCGATCATCCAAACTACAAGTACGTTGCCAGGCACCATTAAGGACTCTTACATTTACGCTTGCTAAAGCGGAATTGAAATACATAAGTCCGTGAGAAAAGCCATCAAATAACTGATACAACAAGCTATGCCAACTGGTTTCAGATAAAAGAGCGCACGAGGCATCTAGTAAGGACAAGCCGGTTTCGTTAACTTCGGAGTTTTTCACTCTAACAAAATGAAGTTGAAGTTCGCAAACAGCATCCACAAGTAAACAAAAGTCTATGCAAGGTTCGATGGGTGGAATACATACGTAGGATTCACAATCATCAGAAGAGTTTAAATTTGTAATAAGATATCTGAGGAACACAACCAGACCAAAAAGATGATCGGTTGGGAAGCTCATTGGTTCTGGTAGAACATCAATGGACTCCACATTCATCCTACAAGATGTGGTGGAGTCAGACAATCCGTTTTCTGAGCTTAGCATCAAAGAATTCAAAGTGCTTCCGGACAGAACTTCTTGAGTCATCAATTTAACACTTTCCAAGACACCGGCTTCCAAATCATTTCCCTTTGTATCAGGTAAATAGGCTCGCACATCCTTAAAACACCGAAATCCCAGACTGACTCGTCTAACATTTGTTGTAGTCACCTGGGCAAGGATTTCTCCAACCAAATGAGATGCGTGTGCTACATCAAGCTCTGCGATTGCTTTAATCTGGAGTTAAGGAAATAACCCAACAAAAAATATTACAGTGGAAAGTTGAATTAAATTGTTGAATTGCTACCCTACCCAGTAAAATACTTTAATTTACTGGGTAATTATTATTTACTCAAAGATAATAAAATACACTGGATGGGTGGCGTTAATAGTTAGTGCCTGACTACTAACAACCTCAGTTTTTCTCGCTGTATTATTTGGTTTAATCACCAAAGCAGAAACTAGTCTTCTAGGGGCTCGAAGTGAAATACATAAATATTTGCTTGTTAAATCTGCTTTTACACTTGGATTGTAAACTTGCAACAGGGGCAATCACGTCCAGTCACATATTTACGAAAAAGATTACACGAAATTTAGGTATGTTTCTGAAACTGCTATGTTAAATAGCAAAACAAGAGACTAAAGAAATTAATAGTTGACAAATTACCCTTTGAATAGTATGTGACGTTAATAAGACTTCCTAAACATTTTATCACAATAACGAATCTGCGTCACATGTTCGGATATATTATATAGTCTACTAAAATAACTAGAAACCTTGAAAATTACCGAATAGAAAAATCCACATCAAATAGAACAACGTAACTATTAAAGTGCCCACAAAAAGGAAAGTGATACGCAAGAGGCAAAACCAAATGACTATACAATGGTACTAAAGAATCTCAATGTACGTTATTACCAGCCATAAATAATGGGGTACTCGTAAAGTATGAGTGAGTATGGACATATGTTACTGAGTTATCCAACTGGTTGCAAATACTCCGTATGTAAAAACTAGAAAGGTTAGTTTGCAATGCGACTTGCCTATGCTTTGAAGTTTCATAACTTTCGATTACGTATTTTGTTCTATTTTAATCTTAAACAATATGATAAGTGGAGATAAATCATGACAGGATACTACCTAACTCAGGACGCATTGCTGCATGACAGTGAAATAGGTAAGAAGAGGTTTAAGAAAAAAACTTTAGCAGTAAATGAATTCAATTTACATAGTCATTGATGCTTGGTATGATCAGTAGAGGGGACAAGCTTTTTGGTTGATTTATGTGAGAGCCCTAATGAATGTATGTGCGTTAACGTACCTTACTATCCTATGCCTTATAGATGGTTTCTCATTACTTTTAGTATTGAAAAATCACTGCCAAGTGGACTGAGCCATGTTGGTAGGTGTAGACTATCTGGTTGGTATCCGCAAGATGATAGCGATTGGCTGTTTAGAGACCTTGAGTGACATGACTCAAAATCGTTTGCAATAGCGAAGGTGCATTTACTCTTCGTGTTCTGCCAAATTCTAATCTTCTGAATTCATATTCCTAGCTTTTTTCTCTTTTCAAATGTATTTCACTGGATTACACTCCCTAAATAACATCTTCGAACCCTGGTCTTTCCTATTACTGCTTATACTCTTACTACCTCTACCACTATAGGATTTCAATCGACAATCATACCTCTGTGCAAATGTGGTATGGCAACGCGAACTGATGTACGTACGTCTGAAGTTCTACGTTGTTGCTGAGTGACCAAATGCTAAATATCGAAACCAGTCTACAAGGGTTATTCCTAAACTTTCCACATGTCTGTCTGAATTATTGCCATTTAGGATCTCAATGCTTTAATTAACAAGTATACAGAAGTTGTATGTTAGAAATACGTTAAACCAATTACTTTCTGGACGTAGTTTAGTCCTGTCGCACACTGCAACACTACAGTACTTACCGTTACTACAACTATCTCTTAACCTGACAGTTACATCTGACCCTCGGTAGTTATGTGCTGATGTCCGACAGAATCGAAGAGTTGGGAGTGAATTAATTTTAAAAGGAATCGGCGCGAAGAAGGTAAGTCCCGTTTGTCCCAGTTATTTTACTTTGGAATAAGTAGGGTAGAAACGACAGGTACAATCATAACAAGCGGGCAATAATAGGAAGAAAAAATGGTGAAATTCACAATGATGAAGAACCAGTACGGGTATTATCATGCTGTCTGACTTTCGGTCTTCACCTACGAGATATATATATATATCTTAAGGATAATTTTGCACGTTGTCACAAAATATACATGTTCATATATATACCATATCACGATATATTCCACCCTTTTGAAAGAAAACTACATTTCGACACTTAGATCATAGTTACCGATCTTAAGCACTTTCAAGATCATACAAACCTGTTGATATATGCAAGGAAACGTCATGATCCATTAACTGAGTTACATTTATGTAGAATGCATCGATATCAAGCTACCGAAAAGGAGGACAAGCACTTAGGTTTAAATGAAACGACGTTCGGCGTTGATACCGCTTGGCATTACTCATGTGTGAAGTCACAAGACAATTAATTAATAGTATTGTTGGATTACTCACTTTTCTTATTTGTGCTTGAACCTCTCCTAGAGGTAAATTGAAAATATCCTCAACTATAGATCTCATCTCTGACAAAGTTCTTTCTTTTATAACTGCCAGTGGTACAAACTCCTTTGCATTTTGGTCAAGTTTTGAAGATACTGGTTTGCAGTCAGACATTTCTAAAAAAAAAACTACATACATTAGAGTATCTCAGTAAGAAACATTCAGAACAAGAAGCGCGAATGAAAATATATATTAAACAAATCAGAAAGTAACATATTATGCGGGAAAAGTTATGATTAAGTCCATATTATATGCTCTAACGAAAATCTTCAGCACTAAACAAGCCTTTTGCTCTTTTTAAAATAGTGTCTTTGCTAGCATCGTACGGAATATCACGGTTGGGTATTTCCAATATGGCCGGTATGGCAACATTGTGGGAGTCTATAAGATGACGAATCATTTCTGCAACATTTTGTACGATTAAGATAATAGCAATATCATCTCGTCCTACAAATGTTCGAAACACATCTTCAACATCAATTAACGATGTGTTTTTATCAACAACAAAGAAATTAGGTCTTCGGTTTTTATCAACTTCCCCGGTTCCACTAAGCAGAAACCCGGTACATGTGTCTTCATCTCCTATTACCGCAATTAACTTCCCACGAGCAGCGGAAACAGCCATTCGCAAACCAACTAATATGAGCGCTGTAGATCTCACACAATGTGTGTACTGAGAAGTAACATGTACAAACAAACGCTTTGTTAGCTCCAAAAAGTGGTTTCATAAGTTTTAAACTTAATGAAAATGTGTTCATTAGTTATTTTATGATTATTTTATGGAGAGTCAAGAGAATCACCCTCAGGTTTCGGGTAGCAGAAATAACAAAGTATCAGTACTTTGAGATATGTCCCAAAATTGAAACGTATTTATGAATATTTTGATATTTCAGAAGAAACTAAATATTTATACTTGAGATATGTTCTGAGAAGTTAAGACTGTCTGAGTAATGTACTCTTAGGTCAGTTACTGATGTTAGTCTGGGCAGTTTGTTCTTGTCAAGTGCTAGTTTTATTCTGAGAGACGTGTCTCCAATACATAGTGTGATGTTTAAATAAATCAATGATTTCTTTGTATTGAGGACTGCTGTAATTTTGAATTCCAAACACAATACATTCGTTCCTACTCATTTAATACCTCTTGATTAAATTGCGTTATTCCTGGGATTTCTAGTTTATACTACAATTCAAATACTTCTGATCATAATATTGGCGTCGCGATTGAGCCTGTGATGGAACGGTTGGATATAAATTCAGGTTTTAATGCTTTTGAGGAGTACCTCAAAAGCATTAAGTACATGGAGAGGTCCGAAATCTGGGCTATGACCAAGGAAGATGATGAAGATTTTAATATGGTGGCCCATTTCCTTACATTCTTCGGAAAAGAAGCATACAGCCTTATAAAGACTTTAGCACTTCCAGACAAATCGATTTCACTCCCCTACGCAATTCT